CTCTTGTCTCACTCGTGAATATATTCTGCATTCCAGCAGAGAAGTTATTCCCTCCAGGTTCCCCAAGGAACAGGCAGTGATGTCTGTTATGAATCAAATTTGTTATCCTTGAGTTGCCGGCCATATAAGTTCAGCTTGCAGTGTTATAACCTGAAATTTCAAATTATCAATGGGAGTAAAAGGTAAATTTCAGAAAAGGCCATGAAGTCTGGGATTGGCTGGTGGGCAGCTGCTACTTCAAAACACTGGCTCCCAGGCTACCTTTGACATGGAGCAAATTAAACTAACTTTGGTGTTCAGGTGGTCTTTGTGTACACGTGTGAAGTCTTTTCCTCCATTTGAAACCCCCCAGCCAACTTGGCTAATGGTTTTGTTTGTGAGTTGTTTTTGTGACGTTTGAGGGAGAAGGAATGACACAAGAGAGACGATATTGTTGACTGTGACTGTTGAACATAGCTGGTTCAATTTCCTCTCACTGTGTTTGTGCATGATGTCATGTGGAGCAGATATGCAGATGATTTTATTGTGGGTGAAAGTTTTAGATTGGGAACTACATTCAACTAAATTACATTAAATTATAGGACTTGAGGCACAAAGAGAGCCATGGTGTTAGCAAACTGAACAAAATATGCTTTATTACTTGAAAGAAATTAAATTGTGGTGAATCAAAAATGCATCATGAGACAGTTTTGGATTTTGTCCATATCTGAGGTGACACTGACGTAAAACAATCCTCCGTCCATTAGGAATTGTGAAGGATTTATCTAATTACCCAAATGTGGAATGTGATTAGTAATGATGTGGACGTCTTAGGAAGATGCATCTGTGCAGTAAGTAAATGAGTCAGGCAAGATCTGTGCCTTACGATGTTCTATCCTTCATGAAATGATGCTTATCCAAATTTGAAGGCAAATTAAAGGACTATGAAGACTTTCTGTCAAATATTTACCAAATTTAGTGTTTAATGAATACACTACTCTGTTTTGCAAATACGACATTCTCTCATTTTCTGACTGGGAAAGTGGATGTTGTTACAGCAGGCTGGATCCAGGATATTGGCTGGTTTCTGTTCTGATTGAAGGAATGATTGAAGTCACATCATCAACTTTATCATTGTAATGGAGTCATTTCTATTGTCATTTGTTTCCTTCCTAGAAATTAGTACAAGTAGACTTGTTGAATTCTATGAAAATGTATCTTTTTTGTGTGTTAAAAACAAGTCAGAACTGTAAAAACAGTGATGTTCTAGAGAGCCCTTACAAGAGGGTTTCTGGTAATGTCAAACATAAACAGGCTGATTACAGTGTGGTCACTGGGTTTGTTCCCAACCTGTGTTAGAGGGCGATGTTCTAGAGAGCCCTTACAAGAGGGTTTCTGGTAATGTCCAACATAAACAGGCTGATTACAGTGTGGTCACTGGGTTTGTTCCCAACCTGTGTTAGAGGGCGATGTTCTAGAGAGCCCTTACAAGAGGGTTTCTGGTAATGTCCAACATAAACAGGCTGATTACAGTGTGGTCACTGGGTTTGTTCCCAACTTGTGTTAGAGGGTGATGTTCTAGAGAGCCCTTACAAGAGGGTGTCTGGTAATGTCCAACATAAACAGGCTGATTACAGTGTGGTCACTGGGTTTGTTCCCGTGTAACTGTATATCAAGTACCATGTATCTGTGGCGTTTGCTTCAACAACCAGCTCGCCCTCCATCAACAGTACAGGTATAGGAGCCAAATGTGGTGGGACTGAGTGACACCAGCAGGCCATTGTTGTATGATGACTGCCTGACATCTGTCTATCAACCTCAACATCCGATCATGTACCTTCTGAAACATGGCTCCATGCTGCTTGTCAACTCAGCCAGCGCTTTTACCCAGTTGGGTCAGGGTTCAAGGTTTCCTAAACAATATGTTCCTATTTACATAAGTTTTAGCTCTTGTAATAAATGATTTTGGGTTGCAAGTGATTTATTTGTTGTTCTGGAAGTTCAAGCCTAGTTCTGGCCACGACCTGGAAGCTGCACTCATTGTGTGGAAGAGGTCAACTTTAACAACACTGCTAACGGACAGCTTAAATGTTTCAAAATATAACTGACGGAAGTAGTATTTTTATTTATATTTAATTTGTAACTTAAGTTTTCTGCTCTCACAAGCAGGTTCCCTGCCAGTAATTTGTGGGTCCATTCATGGATACAACGTGTCAGACGGAAGAAACACAACAGTCTTTGTGTGTTGTGTAAGATTACATGCTATGTGCATTGTAGTGAACATGTCAATTGCTGACCCATCACCAAGCGACTTTTTGTTGTTGATGTTAAACAGTTTGACTGAATATAACAGTATAATTAGTCTGCAATATTATACTTTGGCCTATATTTTTATTATCCAGCAGTTTGTGTTGATGCGCAAAAAAAACCATGTTGTTGCAAATATTACCATTTCAGACCTTTATAATATTTTCCAAACTTAATTTAAACAGGGGTAGTCATAAAAAGCCTTAGTAATGACACGCATGGCTAAGATATAGGATAAACATTATTGATATTATTTTGTGAGTATGAAAACAATGAAAGCATCAGGTTGGTAGAATGCTGAGAAAAATAATATCCATGTCACGATGTCTTTTGCCTATTTGAGGTTGAGACAAAAAATTAAGATATTTATCAAGAGTTACATAGCCCTTTATTGTCTTTGGTTTGAATCTTCTCTCCTCCCCACCCCCCAAGAATATATCCATCCTGTTTTTCTGATCTATTCCAACATGTATCCATCGTAGAATGAAAGAACCGCCTGACTATATAATATTGAGAGGCAATTCATTTGCAGCCATTAGGAAAGTCCTGTGCCTCGCTACACGAACAGTAAGGAACTAGAGACACATACCAACATACGCATCTTTGTTATTAATGAAATGAAGAATAATGGACGCTCCATTAAAGAGGAAACTGATAATACTGTAAATGCTTGTTAATCTTTGCAAGATTCAAGGAGCGACCACATTTTGCATAGCAATCCTTCACAACAAAGGAAACACTTAATGGCACGCTCATGTGTTATCGTTGCCGGAATTGCCTCGACTTGAGCCAGGTTTAGCAGCAATTAGAGTATAATCCCTTGCTCTGAGCTACCAAGCTTTCTTAGTGGTTACTGCTAGGCAGCAATTATGACATTCATCGTGTTTGTTTGATTGGACATCCGAGCATCATGTCTGTCCGCTGTGAATGATCATTTCTGAGAGACGGTTAAAGATCATAGCCAGATTTATAATTACATTTTCCTTTGCAAGCTAAGTCTGCAGGCCTTGTGGGACTTGTTGTCGTGTGGTCTTGTGAGCAAACAAATGTTTATCTACCGTCTGGACCATACTGATGCTATTGCTTTTTATTCAGATGACCTTCTTAAGGTCTTCAAAATTAAGCAAAATGGTTGAAACATTCTTGAATTTTACCTCAACCCAAATTTGTCAAGAATAGAAATACTGTTTGTATTGTGAAAATATTGTTGTTGTTTTTTAGAATCTTTGTCAAAAATGGCAATTTTATTTGTTGGTTATGTCCTTGATTTATTTTGTTATATTTATTTTTACCATGGAAAGGTTGTAAATTTGGAGCAGGAATATCGCTTTGATCTAATGTTTGTGTTAGCATCGGCCATTTTTTACGTCATCTATCTTGAAATGTATTCCAGTCAGTGGTTAGAAGACTCTTTAGATTTACTCTAATTTGATTGTATGTGTAGCTGTCTGTAAAATTGAATCAGTGCTGTCTGTTAATTATTACCGTTATCTGGCGTTAGCCCATTAATAAATATTAGTGGTGATGTTATGTGCAGATGCACACACTTCTGCATCCTCTTGTCTCAGACAGCGGAAATTGCCTACCCAATCCTGAACAATGCTGTACAAAGCAAGGCCATCAGTAGCAACAGCAATAACAGGCTGAGTCAATATGGTCATTTTCATCTTTTTCCTATGAATCAGATCTGTCTGTTGTGTCTTCGGATGACAATTACTGCATGATCTCCACGGATCTAACACAACACAGGTACCCCAGTCCACCACAGCATGTTTGCTTACAAAGAAATCCTATCAGTGGCTGCTGACTGCATGAAGTGCTGTACTTTGTAATCGGTGCAGCTAACAGGTTGTTTAGCATGGGAATACAGGCTGTCCCTCTTCTCCTGAGTGTGGGTCGGCTGGAAATCCATTGAGTCCTTACGTTTCTGAAAGAGTAGAGACATGAGGTTGTGATTCCATATTTATGTTTGCTGCAACATGAGCACCCGTGAAGTATTTGAACTGTTTATTTTGTAAAAGGATATTTTATACGTTTGGTTGCTGAAGTTTGTCCATGGTAGATACATGAGACAGTATTTTCACTAGGAATATGGACCTAAACCAACAATCAGGAAAGATACCATTGCTTTGTCCAAGTACATATAAGCATGTAATGATGTGTCTTGAAGGCATAAGAGGCTGAATGGTCTAAAGCCTTACACCTTAGTGTTGCCTCTAGGTAGGCCTGGTACGATTCGGTGTTTGTTTTGCGACTAACAGGATCGGTTGGTCAGGCTCACTGACTTGGTTGATGCATGCCATCAATCCCACATTGCAAGGATCGATGCTCATGATATCAATCACTGGATGGTCTGGTCCAGACCACCGTCACATAGCTGGAATATTGCTGAGTGCGGTGTTAAACAACAAACCAACCAACCCAGATGTGCTACGATTATGATCATTGATCTATCAGCACCTTAACCATGCTCATGGGTTTCATCAAAGTGATCAAACAATACAACCGGCAACACTTTTGGCGTTCCTCCTCAAAGATGCCAACAAGCCCGATACAGCATGCTCAGTATGATGTTGAAACGCTTCTCGCTCTTCTTTTTGACATGTAGTCATTGAGGGGAATTAGTTTTGTCACAAAGGTGCAGTTGAGTCAGCTTTGTTCTTGTATTTGACCAGTGCATGACATGACTCTACACATATTACATCTCCTTTCAGAACCCCCGAGCAGTGTCCTAGTGTGGTGTCCCTGCTGTCTGAGAGCTACAACCCTCATGTCCGATTCGGCGCTGCCATGGCTCTTGGCATTGCTTGTGCTGGCACTGGACTGAAGGTAGGCCACACTCGGAGTTTCTTACACAACAAAACACCTAGACCAACATCTCGTCTCTGAAATGAACATATCGTACAGAAAAAAATAGTTGTTAAATTATCTTCATAAAAATCTAATAAAAAAGAGCCCAGAGACTCTCTTTGTTTTCAGATACTACAGAAATCTAGACTTGCCAAACATTATAGACTTGCATGGGCTGTATTTGATATATTTGTATCAGGGTCTGTAAGACAGACTACAAAACACCATCGGTGAGGTAGGGCTGATTATGAAATAGATGTTTTCCCATGAGGTTCTGGATATAAAACCATCCCGACAACTTGCCTTTAAATAATCTTCTTGAGTGCTGAAGTAATCTACATCATATTTAGGAATGTATTGGATGGATATATTTACCGATATCTTCAGTCTAACTACAACGGATGTTCCAAACTTCTTTGTTGGCAGTAGGATATACAAGGAATTATTATTGGGGCTTTTAATAGTATTTGTTTCATTGTATTTTTACATCAGTTGTTTTGTGTAAATAAATAGCAGTGTTTGATGATTTTTGAGGACTTACATTGGGTGAATGTATGTTTGTGTAACATGGCTGTGAAACTTAATGTCACAGTAGTATTGTTACAGTCCCCAATGCTAGAGATTGACTTGCTGGTGTGGAACTGTGAAGCAAACAATACTTTTACCAAGTCTTTGATATGCAGTCGGAAGATAACACGACTTCTTTATTATCTGTGCCAACGTTTCAGGGCTATCTCTGACCCCTTCTTCAGGGTAATGTATGTATGGGCAAGAAGAAGCCTCTTTTCCATAAACAGTTTCTTGTCTTCCAATACTTCATCACTGTAAAGAAATCATCAGTATGAATACTGATCAAGTTTTATGTTTTATTTGTTGAAGTTCTCGGAGGATTCCCACAGAAAGAAGGAAAATACATTCCCCCTTCTTCCTTCTTCCTCTCTCCCCCCAGACTTGCCGTATCCTGGGAAAAAAGCCCTTTTACTTATTTGAGGATCTCTGTTTTGTTAATGTTACACTGCTTGACAGTATTGACAGCAGCTGCGTCGTCTGATAATTCAAATGTATCACCAATATTGCATCGTGGATGAAATTTGGTTGCTTGCAGAGATTCGTATTTCCCAGTTTGGATACAAGTAAGGCAAAAGTTGATAATGGATACAGTCAAAGTTCACTGAGACAACCTGTCTTTCAGGGGACTCAAAGAATGCTTGTAGCAAATTTTATTGTGGAGTTGACAAGGAGTTTGGACCAGTTTTGTAGAACATCTTTGTGTCTTATAAGCTGGGCAACCCACAATTCAGAGTGATACATTGCTATGGGTTAGATCTGTGTTCTGTACTGTCATAGTAAGAAAGACACCAAGGAGAGTGAATCTGTTATCACACTGGCTTTGATCTGAACCAGCCTCTCATTGCTTTACTTCGAAGATGCGTTATTGTTTGTATGACCCATTCCTGTGAAAAGTGATTCCGAGATAGTTATATGATTCCCATATTTCAACAGGCGTGTTATTTAAATGGAATTTGGAGTTTTGATCCTTAGCTTGGCTTCCAAAGATAACAAGTTTTGTTTTTGATAGATTTACATTCAGCTTCCTATCTTCTTTAGACTGCCATAATCCATTGTTTTGTAACAGAGGTTTCAGCTCTAAGTGGTCAAAATATTTTGTTGCTGAGGGAATGCTGTTAAAAGAGGGGAAAATAAAACTAGGTCTTCAGCATGACAAGTGAACATTTTACCCATTAGGCTACCCCCACCCCCCCCACCCCCACCCACCCACCACCCACCCCCTCTCATTATATACATTTTTACTTAATTAAGTAAAAAGATATGTGAAACTACATAGTGGCTTTCAAAAGGAAAACGTAAGAGGCAACTAACGGGATCGGGTGGTCAGGCTCACTGACTTGGTTGATGCATGTCATCTATCCCAATTGTGTGGATCGATGCTCATGATGTCAATCACTGGATTGTCTGGTCCAGACTGGATTATTTACAAACCGCCGCCATATAGCTGGAATATTGCTGAGTGCAGCGTTATCAAATAAACAAAGAATCAAATCAAAAGGAAAACCTATGCCATCTCTTTTTCCCAAGTTTTAATGACTGAGTGTAAGAGAGGTATTGCCCCACATGCAGATAGTGGTACAAAGAATGGAGGGCTGCAACACACGTAACCCCAAATGTTAACAGACAGTAAGTAGCCAAACAATCATAATTTATAATATCTGTCTGGCTAAGTCTGCTGTCCTGGATACCCTTATCTCTGGCTGCTTTCCATTTTTTCTATGTGGAAGTGAACTTTCCACCTCTCTGTTTCAAGGCATTTCAGGAATCCCTTGCACGGGCTGTTTCTGCTCCTTGTTGCTGGAGGAGTTTTATCTTTTACCTTGTTGGAAGCGCTCCGTGTAACACATTACACAAGCAGGCTGAATGAAACCAGGCGTATTAGTGCCAGCACAGGTTATCCTGTATCTATAAGGATGTCACAGAACAAATATTGCTTGGGAGGCAGCTGGGCCTGCCTAGCAGGAGCATGCTTTTTTGACGTGCCATTAAATCTACCTGTGTTTTAGTAGTTGTATTTTGGTTATTTTATTGATAACATGTAGGAGGTGATTATGCTGATAGAACACTTACTGGTTTCCTAGTGTCTGTTTGGTTACTGTATGATGTTTAGCGCCTCAGGAATTGCAAAATATTTACTGATTCCTGTAATTCTGTTTACCTGTACTGTAATTAGGGATGAAAACTATTTGTCACTTTTACGAGATTCAGTGGGCAATATTTTCTCTGAACATTGGAACATGATTTCCTAGTTTGCTTTGATTTTTTTTGTCTCACAAAACAGTTGTTATCCCCCATTTGGGAGTTTGTGGAACTGATTAGACAGTGGATGAACCCTCAGTAGGACATCTCAGGCAGTGTTTGTAAAAACAGTTCTGGGTCAGTGTGAAGGTCTTTGAAATTGAGAGCCGGAAGTGAAGGCATCAGTGGCAGGTCTTTCCACTGCTGCAGGGAGAGATCGGAGCACATGCACAGTGGTAGTTGTACCATTATCTGTCACTATGGACGGAGATGACGGCACTGTCACTTTGTACTGGGATGACTATGTCTGTGTATCAGGACAGTGGTTCAGGACTATTATAGCAGTAGTTGTTGGGCACAGTGGTAGTTGTACCATTATCTGTCACTATGGACAGAGATGACGGCACTGTCACTTTGTACTGGGATGACTATATATGTGTATCAGGACTGTGGTTCAGGACTATTATGGCAGTAGTTGTTTGGCACAGTGGTAGTCGTACCATTATCTGTCACTATGGACGGAGATGACGGCACTGTCACTTTGTACAGGGATGACTATATATGTGTATCAGGACTGTGGTTCAGGACTATTATGGCAGTAGTTGTTTGGCACAGTTGCCATTCATCAGTGAGCAGCTTGGGTGGTCGGCATCATTATCAAGTGTAAGAATGTCACTGTCACAGTCCTGTTCGGAGCCTATATTTCAGCTGGGATTAGTCCCTAGCAGACACTTAACATGTGCATGCAGAACATTTCATTCAGAAATGCTGCCAATGCTTATGGAATGACGGCTCAGGATTGGGAAGATATGGGTCTCTTTGTCAGGGTTCTTACACGTTTACCTTCCTGAAAAATCTGTAGGGCTACTTGTCTCTCTCTAAGTCAAATAATTCATTTTGGCAATTTTGGATTTTTGAATTTTAACTGAAAAATTATATGAATTAAAAAGTTGAAATTATGACAAAGCTAGAGAGTACCATTGACATCAGGGTGCTGTACAATAGCAATAACATTAGGGCACTTTACAAAACCATTGACAGTACAAAGCTATGCAGGACCATGAACAGTGTTCTGGTGGGTGAGACGACCTAATGATGGATGTAACACAAATAACCAAGCCATCTGAACAAGCTCACATTCTCACTGTCCTTGCTGATGATCTTATCCAACTCATATACACAAACTGGATGCTATGTTCCGTTGACTTCAACTGTACAGTCCCTGGCAGTATGTATGGTACCATTCTTGCCCACTTGTTGTCTCTCATCTCAGTTGAGTCCGGGTAATTGCCTTTCTTCTTGTGTTAACACAGCTCACTGACCTTCTGCTGTGTTCTGAAACACAAGAAATACTAATTAAACACCCCCACGTAAACTTTACATATGTCACACCAGCTACTGTGACAATGAGTGAAAATCTATCTTTCACAAATATTGATGCATCTTCGTCTGGGGCAGTTTGACTCTTGCTCTGTCCATCTCTCGGACAGGTGTTGATGATAGGATGGGTGGTCACCCCTCAGCGGTGCTCGATATGGAGCAAGGATGACAACTTGTTAGATTCAGGTTGTAGAATGTACAGGGTTCGTGGAGTGCCGTGATGGGGCAGGATGCTGTTGTCAGATTATCAAACATATTCACCAGTTTCCTTGTCTGTGTCTCATCACAGTTCTGTCTCACTGCTTTCAAAAACCAAAGGAAATGTTTGTGAACAAACAGGCAATTTAGATTGGAAATTGTGTTTGACGTGATGAAATGATGTCATGAAATGTTCCATGTTTGATGTTGCTGACAAAGTGAATCTCCTGGAGTAAGAGGCTCTTTTGGACTGAACAAATGGAGGAGATGGAATTGGGAAATGTTTTTTTCTCTCTTATTTTGGGGGAGAGCTCGTTTACACATTAAACCCTAGTTATTCCTCTCTGTGTATTCTCTGCACAAAGGAGAAGCTATGAAGCAGTTTGTTTTCTTTCATTGACCATCATAATGGGTAATGTGGATTAATCTGGTATAGATTGTGTCTACGGGGATATCAATAGACCTTTACTTTGAGGCCTCAGAAAAAAGCCAGGAATCCTACAAGTGTCTTATGTAATCGGTGCCGATATTCTCCATGATAAAATGTGTCTGGAAGGGAAGCTGCCATTGAAACACTGCCAAGATTGCCAAACTCAGCGTTGACATTAAATTGTATTTGACACGGTAGAGATTGGTCAAGAATGTGGGCCCAGATAGTGGTGCTACTT